AGGCCAGTGAAATGTCTCCATCGCAGAAATGAAAGAAAGAGCGCTTAGAGTCAATGAAACAAGAAGGGAATCAATTATCAAACTTATACTTTGAGAAACTTTTGCATCAAAAATTTGTGCTGCAGTAATCAAAGCTAAAAAACAGAAGATATTTTGACAAAAGCAAAATTTAATCATAAAATGCTTCTTTTCTTTTTATCATAAAAATCGATTTCTAATAAAATATCATCTCACATTTTATAATAGCTTTGTCTTATTTAAAGGAAAAACAACTATTTTTGTGGTCAGTTTAAAAAAATAGCAGAGGTGGCGTTCCTGAAATTTTGAACTGTAGTATATATATATATATATATATATATATATATATATATATATATATATATATATATATATATATATGATATATAAATATAGTCTTAAGGTGTGCTATATTTATGGGATAAGGTGCTCGATATCAGAGATAGGCGTGTGTAAATATAAAAGTGAACATAAAGTCAACACTTAGAGGCGACAGTCTGTTTCATGCTATATGCAATCGTATTGCATATAGCATGAAACAGACTGTCGCCTAAGTGTTGACTTATGTTCACTTTTATATTTATATATATATTGAACTGCTATGTCGTTCGGGAAATCTGAACAAGTTAGTGTCCTTTAAAAGCAAATAGAGCCTTGCTTGTTTTGAAGCGATTAAAGTCAGCCAGGTCAGATCAAAAAGGGGCACACACACTGAAATCTTGACGGAAGTCACGTTTTCTTATCGGGTGTACTGATCGCTAAATGAAATAAATAATGTTAAAAAAAAAACAACTGAAGAAAGCGGACGCTGTAAACATTTGTTATCTGTTTTAATTTAAATTCATAAATTTAAATATTTGCCATTAAAAAATTATTTTCAATCCATATTTATTTCATATTTAAATATTATAAACGTCATATGGGTATTTTATGTGTTGGACGTCGTGGACCTTCCTGTACACCCTCAAATATAACGAATATGCTACTTTTTTTGTATCCAGGGAAGTAGCATTTACACATTTAAGTCTGCTAAGCTATTAATGCTTGCAAAGTTTTATGGTTTCGTGATCTTTTGGACGCGGATTTTACATTAAAAACTTGTCTCTAGATTTATTAAAAGTTGCCGTCTGCATATTTTAGCGATAGATAAGACATAAAATAAAACTAAAACTAGTGAGACGATATAATTATTTATACTTATCTGTATTTCTTATTCTTTCTATCCTTTTTTTTTCCTTTTACACTCATTCAATTTATTTCCTTCTTTATATATATTTTATCCTCGTTCACGTTCTTGTGCCTGTTCTTCGTTTTTTCTTCTATTTTTTTCCTTTTTCTTTCAATTCCTCCCAGTTTTTCTTCTTTTTCGATTCTGTTTATAATTACTATTAACGATAATACTGATTCAAAAATATTTTAGTAAATAGAGAGCGTAAAGACGCCCCTCACCAGAGGCAAAAGAAGCACCTGTCTTTCTTTTATCTTGTTATTAATTAGCATTGTAAAAAGTGGCGTGAAAGTCGTTTCTTGGCAACTGAATGAATTCCATCAACAATCGGATGAACAGACAACTCCATTCACATATTTCCTTGTAAGACAGTAACAGACATCTCACATGACAAAATTAAAAAGAGACAATCTTAGAATTAATTAAAACATTTACACATTGCTTAGAAGAATTCAGCCAAGAAAACTACGGCACCCAATTATATTTGTTGTACTCACTGAGTTTTAAAACAGCTGGAGACCTGTTGGCTTTCACTGAGGATAAAGTAACAGCAAATCTATCCAGAAAATCCAATGATGTCCCTATTATTAATTATTATTATTTGAGTTTTCACATCACTAAATATCTTGTGAGTTTCCCTAGAGATCAAGTGACAGTATGTCTTCTCATTGCTCAATTCTCTAGAGTTGTTAATTAGCGAATCATGGGATATCACTAAAAAGTTCTTTATGTAAGGGACTTTTTAATGACTTCCAATAATTCGCTAATTAACAACTCTGCATAATACGAGGAATCGCGTAGTATTATTTCTTATTTATTAGAAAACAGACAAAACGTACCTACATAAATCAACCAGAAATTGATTTCAGCTTCTACTGTTAGGAAAATCCATATAATAATAATAATAATAATAATAATAGTAGTAGTAGTAGTAGTAGTAGTAGTGAGGAGAATGCTAGAAAGATTTGCTGTAACTATATTACTAGTGAAATATATAAGATACGACTGATGCCTTGTTCAAAAACAGTTGATCACGCCAGATAATGCCCTCTCTTCCCAAAACTGTAACTAACGTCCACTCAGAATAGTTGTAATATCAATCACTGGTGTGCTCTGTGGGTTTTGAACAAATACAATCATGCTCGAGCAGGAAACTGCAACAGGGATTGTCCTTCTAAAGGTAGATATACTCGTATATGAGCGTCCAGTCATGATATAAGCAACATATATCTAATGTATAAAAAGCAAATACACACAATGGCCAATATAATTTTTGTATGCAATATTTATAATTTTCTATAATGAAAGAACTCAAAATATGCCGTTTATAGACTATGTTAAAAAATTTTGTTCATCAAATATTTTACAAATTTCAACATCAGTTAAAATACTAAAACAAAACAACCCACAGAGTTTTTTTTATGAATATCCAATTTATACAAAAACCGATATTCAAATTTTGAAAAGTTACAATTTACAGAAGAATTTCCATGGCAAGAATCCTTTTAACTTCTTACAAAACCGAATGTTTTTTATTTATTTATTTATTTATTTCAATCTTTTAATACAAAACAATTTTGGTATTAGATGACCGATAAGGTGTTGATGTGCCATGAAATGAATCACTCAATACATCAACTGGTTGAAGACACAAGCTGCAAGGTTTTTACGCCTTTACTTGGGGGATAGCGCCTCTAGTATCAGTCAGCGAGTCATTCAGCCATCACTATTATTATTATTAATATTATTATTATTATTCTTACAGTAATGTTTACCCTGTACAAATCCCGGAAGACACTCGAGCTAGAGGGTTACAGCGTAGGGGAACTGTTTATGCGAAGAAGAAAACGGTTAACCCTAGCCTTGTACAGGTTAACATTGTAGTGATCAGGAAAGCATTCTCTTGGAAGTCGGTTTCATAGAGCAGTGGTTTGCAGGAAGAAGCTACTCGAGTGGAACATACATCTCACCAATGGAATACGAAGAAGACGAGGGTGGTTCGCTAAAATTTATGTAGAATGGCTGATCCTAGACATGAACGTTAGTACTGGTGCAACAAAGGAATATAGTTCGTCTGAGCACTTTCCTTGTATGTACCGATGGAGCAGTGCTTGTGACATCTCGTCTCTGAGCGAGGGTCTTCAGGGTGGGAAATAATTTGTTAACCACAAGAACGCAGAGATGCTTTTAGACTTTATCGAGACCAGAAGGTAAGGACTGGGCAGCTCCTGTTCAAATATGGCTGCGGAACACCCTTTTAGACCTGATCTGGCTCTTGTAAAGTTAGAAGATAGCACGAGAAGTCATGTTCTTATTGGAGTGGTACAGGGATCCGACCTTTTTTTTCCAGTATCTTTAGCGATTGATCGTATGTCTAAGTTCCATTTGAGGTCTGCGGTGAGTCTGCGGCCCAATGTTTGCTCAAGGTAGGGGGACACCCTGAGGAAACATCTATGCAACTGGTGGTAGTTCTGTGTTAGATCAGTTGAGGGAATATAACTAGTTTAGTTTTCGAGCCATTGAATGTAAATAGCCAGTTTTTCTCGCCATTGTGATGTGAGAGCGAGATCGGAGGAGAGATCAGCTGCCAATCTCGGGTCATCTCGAGTTTTGGAGGGGCACCCATATATTGTTGTCTCATCAGCATAGGTATTCATAAATGATCAGGTGTATACATTTAGGCAGATCCTTTATATAAAGCAAAAAGAGGGTTGGTCCGATAACTGACCTCTGGGGGACGCCTGCGTTGATTGCTATTTCCCGAGGACTGGCCGTTAACAATTGCTTTTAGGAACCTACCCGTTAGGAAGGACTTTTTTTAATTAAGACTCGTCCAGTGACTCCATAGCTACAGAACTTGAGCAATAACCTCTTAAGCCACACCTTGCCAAAGGCCTTTCAAATATCTCATGGTCCTTGGGGTGTATTTGTTATTATTATTTATGTATGTGTTTTCCTTTCATTATTATCAGGTAGGTTTCACTTGAGATCAAGTGACAGAAAGTCTCTCCGAGATTCTCCTCGATATTCTTTTTATTATTATTATTACTACTACTACTACTACTACTACTACTACTACACAATTTTCCCATCAATAGAATCAGTTGTTTTCGTATGACATCAAGCTTCAGCAAATCTCTTTAGTACTTTTGTCAGTATCCTTTAATTTTATGGTACAAATTTCCATTTCAATTGTCTCAAATAACTTTCACTGAAGATCAAGTGACAACAAGTCTGTCTAAATAATTATCCTCTTATCTTCCTATATTATTCATTCTATCGAATTTTTAATTTCTAATCCTTCTTTTACCTGGATATCCTCGTTTTTTCTCCTATTCCTCCGCTTTTCCTGCTTTCTTTTTTTCCTTGAATTGTCCGCCATCTTTGCCTCACCCTCCCCGTTTTTAGTCCTTCCACTGAACTTGAATCTAACTAAAGGCATTTATTTTATTGACGGCATTGATAACAATCTCCCTTTAAAATAACTTCTACATCTTTTTTTTTCTTTTTTTTTTTTACTTTTATTTTATCTGCTTACTACTTTGTCTCTTCTTCAGTCTGGCTTATCGAAGCTTGCTATTTTCTAATTTCCGGAACACGTGATTTTTATCCAGCTGAACTTCAGCCATATTTTCTTCCATTACAACGAATTCTCTTTATCTCAATACATTCTTCCATTCTGATCTCATTTTCTTTTTCCCTGCAGTCTTCTCTTATATTTCTTAGTCTTTTAATCTACTTACTTATCATTCAGAGTCTCTCTTTCCACCATTGATGCCACTTTGTGTCTATTGTCGAAAAGCCTACGCTCATCTTTTCTATTCGGGTTCTCTCATCTATCTATCTATCTATCTATCTATCTATCTATCTATCTATCTATCTATCTATCTATCTATCTCTGTTGAGGCAACTCTGTGGAGTGGAGTTAGCAGGGATGAAAGAGAAAAAATAACTGAAATAGAAGATAAAAGGAGAACAACGAGAGAAGGAGAAATGAGAGAGATGAAGAGTTAATGGCAGAAATAAAGAGGGAAAGATGTAATGGTAAATAAAAAGAAGGAGAGTGATTAGCAGAAAGAAGAAGAAAGGGATTGCAGATCGAGTGAGGTAGTCAATAAGGGAAGTAAAGAAAACGAAGACTGCCAGAAAGAAACAGAAGTGAGAAAGAATGGTATAAACGAATGAAAGGGAAGGAAATCTTGGCATAGAGAAGAAAGAAGAGAGAAATGCAGAGAGAGAGAGAGAGAGAGAGAGAGAGAGAGACAAAGAGAGAGAAGCACAAGGAAATAGGATAAGGAATAGCAAATGGAGACGAAGAGATTTTGACAAAAGAGATTGGGTAAAGTAAAAAAATGAGCGACAGACAGAGTATTGCAAAGAGGGCATCTTTCTGTCTTTAGCAAGGGAACTGGCTTCAAGAAAATCATTCAAACCTTTTAATCTATTTTGTTCCTTATTGCTTTTAACTCTACAAACAAATATCCATGGATCGTCTCTCTCTCTCATTCTCTCTCTCTCTCATTCTCTCTCTCTCTCTCTCTCTCCTGTCTTCTTTCAAAGCTGGTGACCTTTCTTAATCTTAACATTTCCAAAATTTCCTCCTCCACTCCAAACCCTTCCACTCAGATTTAGGGATTTCCGTCTCGGCGTACTGATGCTTTTCTATTTATTCTTCTGCTTTGCCATAATGTCATTTAGCCGTCATCTGATCGCATCATGTCATGGAGAGTGTCTGCAAAGAAGGTGTGACGGGATTTGCACAGACGGTTGGCCCGCCGTTTTATGAAGCTGCACCGAGTACAAAGGACCAGAGGAGAAAATGAGGGATTATGAGAAAATGTGAATAAAGTGCTTGGAAACACGATGAACGAGGAAATCAGACTTGTTAGATTCGGAGAATGGGGGAGGAATGAAAAAGAGAAAGAAAAAAATGAGTCAAATGATAGACATCTAAATTTATCAGGGTACCTTCATTAACATTTATTGTTTCCTTGGTTTATCGTGATGGTCTTCTAGAGAGGAAACATGAGAAACACAAAAATAAAAATAAAAAATCAATAAATAAAGGTTCATCAAACTAAAACCCAATCCACTCATTTATTATATTTCATCCGATCTGAAAATTGATGAAATAATAACCGTTAAATTTTTCTTTTAATGCTAATTTCTATAATTTAGAAAAATATTTTGTATAACACTGAGATGGTTTGGTTTGTTTTGTTTTACGGCATATCAACATCAATGGGTTATTTAATGCCAACAAAATTTTTATTGCTGGTAATGTGTTTTTTTTTTTCAAAAATCTATTTCTGGGAATAAGAAATCTATAGTTGGTCATATTCTTTTCAAAGAATGTATTACTGTTTGTATTGCTGGTATTTTTTTAAAAAGTAATACTGATAATAATTTTTCCTTCAAAAATTATTGCTGGTAATAATTTTTTTATTACAAAGTATTTCTGGTATTGAAACCTATTTTTACATAAGTTTGGCTGTTAACTATTTGCCCATAGCTGGGATCCTAACAGATGCTACCACCCCGGGTCAGGGTGAACCTGGGAACACCAGCAATTAAGAGGTGGTTCCACGCTCTTGGAAACCTCATGATCAGAGGCCTTGCTGTTGGACGTAGTTTATCGTCATACCCAGGACGAAACACTGAGATGGACAATTAGAATTGATTGACCTGAAGTTCAAAGACAAATACAAAGAGAGGAAGTTCAATGACTTTGACAAATGATTCCCAGATAAATGATATTCAACTTTAAAATCTTTTGCTTGACTATAAATTCCAACGTTTAACATAAAATATTGGCTTGGGACGCGACATTTCCTGTTAAATCGCTGCCTATATAAGGTTGCGGTTTTAACTGATCAACATTTACAGTCAGTTTTACTGGCATGAAGTTTGGAAACTCAGTGCTCCTTCTTTTTTTTCTATTTAATAAAAAAGTCATCCATCAGTTTCTTTCAGTTTTGACCTTTAACATTAGCGCTAAAACCTCTACAGTAAAACAAGCACTAACTATATTAAGTTTTGGAAAGAAATTACAACCGAAAAAGAAAACAAATTACAAAGAAAAGGAAAACACGGTAGAAGCATAAATAAAATTAGTAGTTGTAGAGAAAAGGAGAGTAACTTCAATCTTGGCTTCAGTCGATTCAATTTTCTAAACATTGAAAAGACGACTTTCAGGCGTAAGTTGTCTGTTAGTGACGCGCTATTGAAATAATATTCCAGACACATAATATAAATCGGAAGGTTTAATGGCTTCAGTATAAAAGTAATGGATGTAAAGATAGTGTAATGGTTTACAGTTTGTAACGAGAAAATCGGCCAGCCTATTTCGAATTTCGGTCGATTTCGTTACACTTTCACACAAATACCATTCTCTTCTCTCCAATCTATAGATTAAACAGCATGTTGTACTGGAATCTGTAAAAGTAGTTGGGTCTATCTCTATCTATCTATCTATCTATCTATCTATCTATCTATCTATATATATATATATATATATATATATATATATATATATATATATATATATATATATATATATATATATATATATATATGAATGTGCAGGGGTGATAGATTGCTGCACGGGATGGAAAATCGGAATGTCGAGTTTGAATTTATTACATTCCCTTATGCGCAAGTATTTAAAAAAACACATCTCTTTCCTCCCCGCTATGTTTCATAGTATGGTAGACTGGGCTCTATAGACTTGGTTAGCAACCACTCTAGGAGAAAGACAACTCTAAACAGGAAGAGGACTGTTTGGAAACCCCAGGAAAAACACTATTCACCAGTTCTCTGTATTGAGTTCTTCCGAAAAGTGTGGTTGGTTTTGCACAAGCCTTTAACACTAGAATTAAATCGTATGTGCATCTAATCTGACTACAGTTCTTGGAGATTACAATAGTTGGGCACTCTTATGTCGAAAAAAACTGGAGTGTCCATCATATATATATATATATATATATATATATATATATATATATTGTGAGGGAGAATATTTCTCTACAAGTTTAGACTCAACCATCGGACGAAATACGCCTACATCAAGAGGAGTAGCAGGAAGAGCAGTGGCAGCAGTAGCGTTTGTAAAATCAGTTAGTCATTCACGACTAGTTCCTATTCTACATCATGTTTCCTTGTACCAAGAGGTAATTCCGGTTTTCTACTGTTGTTTTTGATAACTCAGTTGCAACAATATATATATGGCGAAAGAAGTGGAAGGAATGAAGACGAAAGAAAGACCCAAAGAGACAGGCTAGCTTGCACAATAGTAAGAGATACTGAGCGAAATAATGAAAGTTGGCGTTGGAAATTGTGATACATTAAAATTCTTTATAGGAAGAAAAGTAAACAATAAATAAAAAGGATGCACAACAACATTTCTGTATCCCTTATTATATTTTCATACATAAAACTAATCTATTTTCGTATAAAATTGAGATAAAAAAAAACATAGACAAGCAACGAAGACAGGAATATGGTAGACAATGGGAAGATACAGGTAATGACTGAATAAAAGCACAGGCATGAGATAATTGATAAACTTAATTTCTAAGATTCTATGGCTTCACTAGAAAAAAAAACACTTAATGTATCAATCAATCGTGTTTGCATACATTGTCCTGTGTGAATCGAACGTGTATCTTTTTGAAAATGTAATTTCGTTGTTTTTTTTTCAATCAGTTGAAGCTGACACCAACAATGTCAATGATTTTTGTCAGTTCATCAATAAGATGATGGCCGTCGACTAGAAATGTCTCTTGAATATTCTCGTCATTTCTATCTCCTCGAAACACTGCAGGACGTCATAATTCTTTGACTGATATTCCCTGTCTTAAAATATATTGGGCATTCAATTTCTTTTCACTGCCTGATATTAAAAAAAAAAAAAAAAAAAAAAAAAAAAACTTGCTTAAGCATGGTTACTGCTTCAGCAGGATTCACTGAACAAAAAAAATAAATAATTAAAAATAAAATTGGGACTCGTATACATCAGAAATCAAAGGAAAATATAATAATTATTTATAATTAATAATAGTAGTTAATATTTCATTAATTGTACTAATAATATATGCTTATGAATCATTTCTAATCATTTAGAAAATTAATTCGTATTCATTCCGAATTTTTATTTCTTTACGCAACCTGGAAAGAATTGCAATTAATTATGAATCTATCTGGTTAGATTTATTTAAACCTCAGAATATTTTACAGAAAATGAAACAAACGTTTTTTTTTTGTTTTTTTTTTTTTTTTACAGATTATTCTATTTGTAAATAAGAATAATAAATAAGAACAGTCACTCATTTTCAGTACCTACAACTAACACATAAAAAACATTATATATAAAGTTAGCCTTCTGAAAATCCTTCTTTTTAGATTATTAAAAAATACAGCACTTCATATAATCTAATAATATATCAGTGATTATATTAAACGAATATATCAGTGATTATATTAAACGAATATATCAGTGATTATATTAAACGAATTTGACAAATTTGCGTTTATAGCATTCATAATTTCGCCAATTGATGGATCTTCGCAGTGTCTACTGTTGGTGAATAGGCCAACACCGGAGTGACATTCCAGGCTGCATCGACTTCAACAGAAGGCGTTCTTCTTCAGTGTTATCTTAGTGTTTATATCTTCTTCTTTTTTTTTTTTTTTTTTGGCGATTACGCTTTTCTTCAGCAGTATAATTAGTTTCTTATTCTCTTTTTAGATATTTGCTGAGTTCCATTCTCAAGTAATCGTTGTAAATGTCCCCACCACCTCTCGATGTTCATTTTCAGTAAATTCATGTCTTTCTTGCAATAACTTTGAAATAAGCTGGAGCCGCCATTGCAGTCTGTTGCCGGAGGTCAGTTCCCCGTACAGCATGACCTTTCAGATCCATTCGTCGGACATACGGCGTACAAGTAATCAATATACATACTTGTGATTAGTGGAATCCAGTCTTAAAATTATTTAACAATGGCATTTTATATTTCGAGCTACATTTTTTAATTTCAAATGTTGAATGCTTATTTCATTTTGATTACACTTTCATTTAATTATAGCTGATTAGATCGGTAATCCGTAATCATTAGCAAATCGAAGATAAACAATAAGATCTTGGCAAGACTTGATCTTGAGTTCATTTTTTCACAGGAAATAAGGCCGTATATAACAGCTGCTCTAACGTTTGAAATCCTTCAAATAACAGTGACTGACGATCAAATCCAACCATATAAATCTATTCTCTATTGCCCTCAACCAAATCACTTGCCGCCATGTTTAATGTTATTGTTTGGATCTCGCAAAAATAGAATTTTTTTATGAAATGAATCATTGTCAACTGTTATTAGGTGTTATTTCTTCTCAAGGAAAAAGATTACGATTAAAACATACGAGTAAAAATAAATAATGGCTGACAATGTTCAATCTAATAATGATCAAATTCAAGATAATATTCGTAAATTTCTTCGTCTGTTTTCCAAACGACTGTGTCAATTTAAAAAAACAACAACAAAAAACAAACATCATCAGTCTCATCTCTTTATGACGATATATAAATAATATAAAATAATTTAAGTAAAAGATTTGTAATTTATTTCTTCATGCTAATCGTTATTTTACCCAACTGGAAATGTGATCCATATTTCCAGTCGCAATAGAGTCGATAACTGAAAAGTGATGAAACTCTGCTATTTTTTTAATATATTGCCTGGTGGTTGAGATAATTGCGTTTTCCATACTAGTGTCAGTTGTGTGTATTCGAACTCAGTTAAATAGCTATGATTTTTTATCCTGAGTTTTACAAACAAACAGATCTATCCCCCGTAAAATATTGTCAGCATACAATCTTCCGAAAATCTTTTCCCATCCGCCATTTACGAAACTGAGATTAATATATTTGATTATTTCATGGTTAATCAAGTATTTGT